GGTTTGCCTTGGCCCCTTGGCCAAACTCAAGCACCTGGTGTCCCTAGGAGGTGGCGAGAGCGGGAGGAAATGCACCCTCATTTGCTGCTGCTGTGAGTAGCAGCTGGCGTGGCCAGTGGGCAGGCAGCCCAGCGGCCTCTGATGACATTCCAAAGCTGTCACCCCTGTGATCCAGGGATTCTCTGATGCAGGATGGTCCCTGGAGAAGCATTTCCATGTCTGCACTATGTCAACTGCCCAAGTGGTTTGGAAACAAGTAGCGCTTGTTAGCGGAGATGTCAATACACTTCTAGTTGACGTTGCCACGGAAAAGTGTACATCAGGTGCCTGTGTGCATCGTGTCCAGGCTGGAGCTCCCATTGCAGGAGCAGGCGTGAGTCTGGAGAGAGGCCACACCCTCCAGAAGCTTCCACCAGAAGCTCCTGCTCCTTCCCCGGTGCCACCTCCACCCTGGAAGAGCCTCTATCCCAACTCCGAACAGTGAAGATGAGCCCTGCCTGGTTTTGAACGCTAGGTGACTGGAAACCTGCAGCAAAGCCTCAGACCCTGCGTCCGCTCGGTGTCCTGTGACGAGACCCGGCCACGCCTCCAGGGGACGCACCTCTCACGCTCACGTGACGTAGCCATTAACATTTTCAACCTGAAAAAAGAAACCTGCCTGAGTGACACGTATACCCTAGAAAATTGGAAAATATGGGCTGAAAACCGTTTTTATCTAACCTTTAAAAAAATGCACGTCCATTTTCCATTGGTTTCAATTTCTGTTTCTTCTCTGGCCATCCATGAAGACATTCTCTCTGCCACAAACTCCAGCAATACTTGTAGATGAAGAAATACAACTCCCGGTTTCCCTCCCTGCAAACCCCCGACTCTTCCACAGAGGCAACCGCTATTGCCACCTTGGTTTGCATCCGTGTGGATTTGGGGGGACGTGTTTCTATGTGTCTGTAGGGACTTGCTCAAAACCCATAGGCTTTAGAAGAAAAGTTTTAGGTTTACAGGTAAATCTCCTTTCCCTGTACCTTAGCGATGCTTCTCGTACCGCTGAAGGACCAGCTTTGACATATTAGCAACTGGGGGCATGCGTTTGCCTTTGCGTTTGTGTTCGTTCTATGTGGTAAAATTCGGTTGATTTTGACACAGAATCATACAGACTACACCGTCCTACAGTGTGCTTTCTGGGGTTTTAAAAATATATGAATAAGACGATTCCCTGCAGGTTGTTTTTCGCCTGCACCTGTGCCCCACTGCCGGCTTTGGAGAGTTTTACGGTGCATAATGGATCCACTTTTTAATAGCTGAGTGTTAGACCTTAGTCCCCGGTTGAGGATTTGGGACATATCCAGGTCTTTGCTGTTTGAAGCAGCAAATCAAGTGGACCCCAGAGAGGCTTCCCAGTGCAGATGCTAGGTTAAAGGACAGGCGTAATTACGTTTCCAGCCTTGAGATGCAGCCAAACTGCCTCCACATTGGGCCAATTTATGCCTCCACCCCCGCCCAAACCTTGCCAGTACTGGGTATTATGGGTCACTTCAGTTTTCCCATGCTGGTGGGGTGGGATAACATCCTACACTAAGTGCATTTTTGTGCCTTGAACTCCCTGTTCCTGAAGTCCATCCCTGACAAGCACTGGGCTGATCATCTGCCTTTGTCGGCCTATTGTGAAGCCGCTGTTGTGCTACAAGCTCTTTATTTCTGTGATCTGGTAGCTGAAACCCTCCCAGGCAGATATGGGCCTGAGCTGGGATTCTGCCCGGCCTCCTCCTCCCTCCTTGTGGAATATTATGCAGCCTTCATGAACGAGCCCTGCCATGCGTGGGCACTGAGGACATTATGCCAACTGAAATAAACCAGCCGCAGAAAGACAAAGGCCACGTGATCTCATTTGTATGTGGAACCTAAAAGCACCAAACTCAGACTGAGTGGATGAGGGGTCATGGAGGGACTGGGGGAAGTTGGTTCAAAGGGAACAAAGTTTCAACTAGAAGATGATTAAATTCTGGGGTGAGATACTTGACAGGGCTGCACTGTGGACCTGAAATGAGCCGGGGAAGCAGGACTTAGTGTTCTCACCAGAACAGTGCGGTGAGGGCCTGGCGTGTCACCCGGCGGTGGTGTGCCCAGTCATCCCAGGGCTCTCCTTAAATCTGGGCAGTTTAGCCGACTAGAGCTCAGTAAGAGAGGAGAAGCAGCCCCCGAAGCAAAGGCCCTGCCTTTAGGCTCCTTGCTGTTGCCCTCTGATCTTGGCAATCAAAACAGGGGGACGTGCATTGCTGCTTCTCACACACGTGTGCACGTGTGTCAGGTTCTGCTTTGCGAACAGCAGAAGGGTCCGAGCGGGGCTCCCCGTGGACCCTGAGGCTTGCACGCAGGTGTGGTGCAGGGCTCCTGTGTGCAGTTGCAGCACCAACACCCCACTGCTCTGCCCCCACAGAGGCCTCCCCGCTGATGCCTGGCAATGAGGTGGTCTTCTCGTCCTACCCGGGCACCATCTTCTCCTGCGATGACTTCTACATCCTTGGCAGCAGACTGGTGAGTGCGTCTCCCTGTCCCCTGTCCCCAGTCCCCAGGGCCGCTTCCCACCCAGCAGCTCAGGGCCAGCAGGATGTCCCCCTTGACCCAAATGCAGGGATGAAGGGGATGCTTCCACTGCCTGACTGCTTGTTAACGTGGGTCCCCAGCCCCGGGTGGGGCCCCACATCCTGTCGTGGCCTGGGGCTCTGCATTGGCACACAGCTGCTCAGAGATTGCTGGTCTTGGGGCCCTTGTGAAATCCCTGACCTCCGTGACCTCGTCTGGCTTTTATGTATTGAGGATAAGCCTCCCCACCGCCCCCCAAACCCATCCCTCTTTCTCACACTGCCTTCTCTCTCGCTGTCCACACGCCCTCTAACCTGGCCAGGTTTTCAGAATAAATGTTGTTTACAATGTGTTGTTTTTACCGCTTTTCCTGGCTTGGGCCCAAACCCGTTTAGAAATCTGTCCCTGGCACCCCTCACCAAGGCAGCGAGCCTGCAATCTCCAGGGCAACACGGCAGAGGAGAAAAAACATCACTTAAAAAAGCCTCTCAGATGCAGAAGATGCCAGGTCCCCAGGCAGGAGAGGGGAGGGGCGCAGAATGTCTTTCTTAGGACACGCACCCCTTAGATGTGGAGGGAGGCTTGGGAAGGTCGGGTAGTAGATAAGGGGTCCCCCTCGCTACAGTCAGGGGAAAGACAAGGTGCAATGGTTTAATCCATCTACTTGCAAAGTCTCCAGGCGGGACATGATCCCCCCCAATCTGGGTCTGTAATGTTTTTGTGCCATACAAGCAGCCCCCCTTCAGCTGTGAACCCCTTCTCAATAATGTTTTAAATGCACAAGCCAGAATCCACAGATTATAAAGGAAGCCAATTCTATTAAAACGTGCTCATCGAAACAAGTCAGCCTTGGATCTACGCAAGGAGCAAGGCCTGGCAGGGGGGTGCCAGCTCCCCTCATTCCGCGAGCCGAGGAGCATGTGGGGTCACTTAGGGCCCATGCACCCCGAGGTGGAGGCGAAGGGCCAAGGTGCTGTGGTGGGGTGGGTGCTGCTGCTGCCGTGTCCCCGCATCGACAGTGGGAGGACACGCCCGCTTGCAGCTGACGTGAGTGAAAATGAAGAGGTGCGGGGTGGTGGTGGGTGGTTGTGAGAGGCTTCACCAGAGACAGAGCGGGGAGCAGCGGGCGGGGCAGGAGAGGTCTGCTGCACCATGTGGGTCAGCTCGCTGGCCAGGGATCGAACTCAGGCCATAGTGGCTGGCGAATGCTTGATCACGCTGAGACTTTAACCCTGTGCCACCGGGCGAGGCCCCTTTCTCTGAGGAAATTGCTCACCAGTGTGTGGGGTCCATGGAGGCAGCCCCTTGTGCTCAAGGGGCAAAGCTAGACATGATTGTGAGCTCCCCTCAGTGCTAATCCACGAGCTGGAGGGGAATGTACCCTGGGCGGGTGTGTCAGGCCAGCCACGTGACCTGTGAACCGGGACTGACACCGTCCCGCCGCTGGCTGACAGCGCCCCCATAGGCCCCGAGGCCTTTCAGTGAGGCAGCCCCTCGGCTCTCCTGCAGGTGACGCTGGAGACCACCATCGGCAACAGGAACTCGGCCCTCTGGAAGTACGTGCAGCCCAGGGACTGCGTGCTGGAGTGGGTGCGCAACGTGGTGGCCAACCGCCTGGCCTCGGATGGGGCCTCCTGGGCAGACATCTTCAAGAACTTTAACAGTGGCACGTGAGTGGGCTCCTGGCACCGTGGCTTCCATGCCCAAGAACTGAACCAAACCCCCTCCAACACCCAGACCCCAGGGAACCTGACTTGGCCCCCAGGCCACACCCCCCATGGCCTCTCAGGGCCCTCACGGGTCCTCACGGGTTGGAAGGAGTCCTCCAGTCCCCTTGCTTTACACATGGGAAACAGGCTCAGGTACAAAAGCATACGCCTCCCCTTCTCCCTGCAGGCTCCTACACCCAGGGCAGTGCCTGCAGAGGAAGGACAGAAAGAACTCTAACTTGAGCACTGTGCAGGAGGTGGACATGGGTGGGGATCTGGATGTCATGGCCTTGGAACGTCAGGCAGGAGAGCTGACTTTATTTTGATAAGCACTAGGGAGCCGTAGACTACGCAGGAGCAGAGAGCATGAAGGGAAAAGGTTTGCAACCTCGAAGTCAAGCTGCAGTGTCAGAATGAAAGTCGGTGGCTGCAGCCACAGGCCACCTGTGCTGCGCCCCTGGCAGGGCGCAGCGGCTTGCTCAGCCCCCTCCTTCGACCCGGCAGGTACAACAACCAGTGGATGATCGTGGACTACAAGGCATTCGTGCCCGGCAAGCCCAGTCCTGGGAGCAAGGTGCTGACGGTCCTGGAGCAGCTCCCGTGAGTGCCCGGTTCCTGCTGAGATGGGAAGGGGCCGGAAGGGGGAGCAGGGGGAGCCATCGGGGTCCTGGAGCAGGCCAGCACCCACAGGAGCCTCTTCCTGACCACTGCTGCCCCCGTCTCTCTTCTCGGCCCCAGGGGCATGGTGGTGGTGGCCGACAAGACCTCGGAGCTCTACCAGAAGACCTACTGGGCCAGCTACAACATCCCGTATGACTCCCGCCATCCCTGCCCACTGTGTCACCCCTAAACTTTCTACTGGTGGGGGGGTCCTGCCCAGGTGACCCTTTAAGCTTACAGTGCCAGGAAACCCGCCCTCTCTGCAGCTGTGGCTCACCCACTCGTATGACCATCTACCGTGGCGGGGTGGCAGGCTGGACGGCGCAGGTTGGACAGCCTGGCGCGCTGATGACCCACAAGGCTCTCTAGGAGCCTCAGCTGATGCCCAGGTGTGGTGACCACTTTCCTCTGTCTCCCCAAGGACGCCCTGAGGGCCCAGCCTCCCACTGTCCTATAAGCGGCCATGGAGTCTGGCCGAGCCCAAGCTTGCCCTGCCGCTGGCCTGGCCTTTGGGGCTATTAGTGCCCATGTGCTGGGGCACCCCCCTCCCCCCAGGCCAGGGCTCGGCCAGGTGGGGCTGCAGGCTCGGGAGTGACGTCCTGGTCCCGGCAGGTCCTTCGAGTCCGTGTTCAACGCCAGCGGGCTGCAGGCCCTGGTGGCCCGCTTTGGGGACTGGTTCTCCTACGATGGGAGTCCCCGGGCCCAGATATTCCGGCGGAACCACTCGATGGTGCACGACATGGAATCCATGCTCCAGCTTCTGAGGTGCGTGGGCCATGTGTCCCCAAGTCGGCCCTTCACAGCTGGCCCGGCAGTCCTGGCTGATGGGTGAGGGTGCTGCCACTGGGGGTCGCTGGCACCGGGCAGGCTCCGTGCTTGGTACAAGCTGTGACCCCCACTGCCCCCAGAGGCGCCCCAAATGATGGGAGACACGGACCTATCAGGTACTCAGAGAGGGGAAGAGGGTCTGAGGCCCAGAGTGGGGCTCAGAGGGAGAGATGAGCATGGCGTGCCATGGGGGTGACGGGGTGAGGGGGCCCCAGGTAGAACACAGCATGCGCCAAGGCTGGGCCCGCCGGCAGTCGGGGGGCTGCCACCTCCTCAGTTCGGCCCCTCCTCGGCCGCCCCCACTTCCCTGCGTGGTAGCATCCAGTCCTTCCCGTGTCCAGGTACAACGACTTCCTCCACGACCCGCTGTCACTGTGCAAAGACTGCACACCGCAGCCCAACGGGGAGAACGCCATCTCGGCCCGCTCTGACCTCAACCCAGCCAACGGCTCCTACCCTTTCCAGGCCCTGAGGCAGCGGTCCCACGGTGGCATCGACACCAAGGTGCGGCCTCTGCCCCTGGGGCGGCGGGTGGGCTGGGCACTCTCACTGGGCAGAGCACGGGGAAGGCTGGGCCCGAGCAGAAGGCTGGCGTCCGGGCCCCGGGGGTGGTGCTCAGGGACCTTCCTCCCGGCCTCCAGGTGACGAGCATGGCCCTGTCCAAGGTCATGGGCCTGCTGGCGGTCAGTGGCCCCACGTGGGACCAGCTGCCCCCGTTCCAGTGGAGCACCTCGCCCTTCAGCAGCCAGCTGCACATGGGCCAGCCCGACCTCTGGAAGTTCTCGCCCATCCGAGTCTGGTGGGACTGAGGCGCCGCCTCCCTCTGCTGCCTTTTGCCCGCTGACGCCCAGCAGGCCACTCCTGCCCGCACCCTCCTTGGGCTCCGCCCCGCTGTGCCCAACCTGCCCCCTGGGGCTGCCTCCCGGGGCGGGATACAGAACCCCGAGGGTGCGGAATGAAATCTCCCTCTGGGAGTGGGTGAGTGCCTCCCCGCTTCCTCTGTCTTCCCAGGTCTGACTGTCTCTCCTCTCTGGGTTACTCTCTCCCACCTGGAGTCCCATCCTCAGGCTGCCCCCTCCTGAAGCTTTGAGAAGGGCCCCGGAGTCAGATTCTGGGCCTCCCGTGGGACAGGAGGGGACTGGCCTGGCCCCTTCCTTCCAGGGTCGTTCCTGCCGGGGACTCTGGGGCTCCTGCGGGGTCTAAGACACGGGCATTATCTCCGGGCACTCCAGGCCCCAGCCGTAGCCCCTCCGCTTCTTTGGGAGGGAACCCCTGCTTTCCCTTCTTGGCAGCTTCCTCCAGGGCAGAAACTTGAAAACAAACAAAAACCAAAGTTTCTGGTGCCTTGCGTTGGGGGGCCTGAACTCTCTGGGGACTGACTCTGCCGCCAGCCCCCATGCTTCAGCTCGTGCCCCTCCACCCCCAACCTGGGCCTGCCCCTGGCCTCAGGGTAGCACCCTCAGCTCCCCTGCTGTGGAACAGATTGCAGGCTGTGCTGCCATTAAAGGAGAGAGGCTGAGGCTCCTGTGCTGTGCTTTTTGGGGCATGAGGGAGGCTGGGTCAGCGGAGTTCTCTCAGGTTTGTGCTCTATACGTCTGCCTGGGCACCCTGCTGTCCAGCCGCCTATCCATTCATTCCTCTGCCAGCCCTCCTCTTACTGTCTCTCCGTATAATCATCCTCCCACCCATCCACCCACCCATCCATCCACCCACCCACCC